CTCACCCGGTGGAGGCATCACGGATGAAGTGTCAGCTCGCATACAGAAGGCTCGATTGGCCTTTGCCAACTTGAGACATGTGTGGTGCCGTCGCGACATCCGGCTGTCTGTGAAGGGTCTAGTGTATGCCGCGACAGTTCGGCCAGTCCTGCTATACGGCGCAGAAACGTGACCATTAAGAAAACAGGATGAAGACAGACTGTCGGTGTTCGAACACCGCTGTCTACGCAACATTGCACGTGTCTGGNCTGGTGGGGTAGCGGGACGAGCAATGCTGAGGTTAGGTGCAGAGTTTTAGGCATTTGCGGTCGTCCACTGGAGCAAGTGATTGACCTCCATAGATTACGCTGGTTGGGACATGTGTTACGCACGTCACCAGGTAGGTTACCACGACGAGGGATGTTCGCCGAAGCAGATACCGAGTGGAAGAAAGCCAAGGGTGGTCAAGTTAAGACCTGGCGTGAGGGTATGAAAACCCCAACCGGGAAACTGGGTCACATAGGTCCTGTTAGGCTCCCTGGGTGGGGACCTCGGGATGGTCGTACGCGATGGTTAGAGATATTGATTGATATGGCTGATTGTTTTTGATGAGTGTCGTAAACAGTGGCGTTCGTGCATCTTCTCAACTTCTTTGCAATCCTAGACCGCTGAAATTCTGCATTTTCTGGTCGGCTCTACTTTCACCCTTCCTTTTTACTCCATTTCTTCATCCAAAGGAGCATCCAAAAAACAACAATGAAAACCGGCGCTCGAATATGCATGGTTAATGGTTGTACTAGCTGAACTGAACTGAACCTGTTGCTGTAATGTCCAATTTTGCACCATAAAGCAGTTCTGGCCGATCTGTTGCAGCATGTACTCGACTCTTCATAGACAATTGGATGGCGCGACAGCGCCACAGATATCTCAGTTTGGCAATTGCCAACCGACCTTTCTGTATGCGCGCCGACACTTCATCTGTGTTGCGTCCCCCAGGTAAATTATAGCTGCCCAGATAGCAAAAATTGTCTACTTTCTCTACTGACTCCCCTGTCAGGGCGCACGAAAGTGCATGGTTAATGGTTGTAAAAACTGAAACTGAAACTCAGGGTGAGGCTGGACCAACCCAATATTGTAGCAACATTTTACCCTTTCAAGGTGCAAAACTCATACCAAACATGGGTACGCTGGCGCTGAAGCTATCCAGAAAAACTTAAACTCACCCTTATCTTCACTTAGCAGCACCATGTCGTCTGCACACTTTAGATCAGGCAATCTACCACTTAGGTGCAAATCAATACAGCTATCCTAGCAGGAGGATACGGCTGTTTCAAGAATTAAATCTACGACAAACATAAATAGTAACGGAGATGGAGCGCAACCTTGTCTAACACCACTTTCTGTAGTGAACTCGTGTGATAAAGTGCCGTAAGAACAGGGCTTCGGTGGTAGGCAGCTTTACTGTAGGCCTATTTTTCCTAATAAAGCCTTACATGGTTCACTATCCTTAAGTCTCGGAACTTTTCTTGGTATTTACCGTAGATGAACTAAACGACTGTACGGCGATGGGTTATATCCCTTGTGTTGTTTACCGCATTGTGATTTAATGAAATATGACGTTATTTTGCAACTTTCGAGTTTCATCTTTGATCTATCTGTCGAATGCACAATTCTCTCAAGTTACCTAGTTAGTGTATCCCTTTTTATTTTTGTTACGTATTTCTTTCAGTCACAATTGTTCTGAAGTATCATGTCTACGGATGATAGAGTTACCTGCCCAATTTGCTTGGGTCTTCTGTACCGTCCTATTTCTCTTCCTTGCTCCCACGAGTTTTGTCGTGAGTGCATACTAAATGCAGTCGAGCATACCTCGTTCCAATGTCCGATTTGCCGCTATCGTCTATCCAATTGGTTGCGGAAAGTCAAGGACATCGATTGTGCAGTAGATGTTGATAAAGAAAACCATCTTCGCCATTTATTTCCGAACTACTATCGAGAAAAGGAGCTTGGAAAATCGCCTATGTTGTCTCAGGCTGAAAAGCGCTGTCTGCGAGACATAACCGGTATTTTGTGTCAAAGACTTTCACATTGTTATTTGATTGCCTTTTCCTTAGATGGTTCATGCTCTCGAGACGGTGTTATCGCTAATCAGGGTGAAGTATACGCTGACTACCTCAAACAGATGGAGAAAGAATCTCGCTTGCGTGCTGTTGAAGAAAAGAAAAACGAAGAAGCCTCTTTGGCTTTGGCCTTACAGCTCCTTAAGGAGGACAGCTTTACGGAAGATGAGGTGCCAATAAATAGGATCGGTAGTGCTGAAACCGCAAAGCATAATGTCTCGTCACTGTCCCCAGTCACTCAGGCATCCGGTAGCCAGGTATCCGCATATTTGTGTCGTTAACTAGATAACTCTACCCATTCTAGACATGTTCGACCTTTTCCAGTACAGAACGGAATAAAAAGTCTCACAGGCGAACTCTATTGGATTATGCCGTCTATAGAGGAGCCAGCCAACCAGACGTTTCAGAGGATCAGGTGACTTGATTTTTTCTCCTCACCGTGTCCCAGTTTACAATCTTGTTTTGTTCAAAATTTTCGTCAGATTTTGAATCCGGTGGCAATAATGTTTCTCGGTCTGTTATTTATTCAGTAGTCTACAATCCGTTTTGTACGGTTGAACTTGATTTGTCAAGATACACAAAAAGGTAGATATGGAATGCGTTGATGAAGTTCGAATACACAAGCTGCATGGTGAATTAAGATACCCGATCGTTCATTGTGATAACTTTTTTCAGTTATATTTTCCCCAGAGGTATGTATATTTGTTGCAAAGGTCACGAAAATAAACTTAACATTCCAAGAGGGAAGGGAGTCCTACACTGAGTTGTAAGATGTTTAGTGTAACGCTTTGATCTAAACTGGGACTCTTGATCAAACCTGAAGGAAATGAACAGAATAATGGGGTCGCTGTATTTCCCATGCACCAATGTGCTGTTTATGTTTCCGCGGAGTCCGCTAATCGCCACGTTTTTGTGAGTGCGACTTAATGTCTGTCTATCTCAAGAATCGACCTCTTCCAATTCTCCGTGGTTTGCGTCTCCGCCTTTGTGTTATCGATCGCGGTTTCGTGACTGGCTGTGCCCAGTGGTTCCAGATTTGTGATCTTGGTTCAGCGCGTCGTGGAGGAAGATCTTGATCTTGGAGGGTAATGCGTAGTTGTTCACATTGTTCAACTGTTGACCATGCACTTTCGTGCGGCAGATTTGGTTGCCCATGTGCATGTAATGGTAGAATAATATTGACAAGCTGAAATTGGAGTCGAAGAGAAAATTTAGAATTCCAACTAGACCGGGATTGCAAAAAGTTGAGAAGACAAACTAGTCGCACTGTTTACCGCACATCCATGTCACTCAGTGTCTCTAATCAATAGTTCCATTGATCCCGAGTTCCCTATTCAGAAGCCTAATGCGACCCATATCACCTGGTCCTCCAGGTTGGGGGTTTGACTCGAGTTAGCGTTTCAGTCGGTAAAATGGTAGAGGAGTAATTGATCCAAGTAAATGGGCCTGTACTTCGCTTCACCCGTCGCCTTGCGGTCAGGCTCTTGTTAGAACTAAAGGCTTTAGACGAGAACCCTAATCGTTCTCCTGCTTAGTGGCTGGACAACCTGGCAGTACCCGTCCATCAAACTCAAATGCACACAATCAAAAAATAATTCCGTACTGCATCGGTCGTCGCGCAGGATAATCAGGACCGCGCTGCCCATTGCATCCAGCGGGGTGGGTAATGATAAGTGAACTACTGCTCAGATACCCTTGCACGAGGATAGGGCTGTTTCCATAACAGAATATATAACCAAGTTAATTAGAAACGGAGAGAGAGGGCAACCGTGAAGAACGCCGCTTTCTGTTTAGAACTCGGGCGAAAAAGTGCCGTAAGCTGAAACTCGAATTCAGCTATTAGTGTAAGGGAATCGTAGTATTGAACGAAACTTCTCGAGCACAATTCAGGGAAAGGCAGTGCCAGAGTTCAGAACCAACGACTGAGTCGAAGGTCGCTTTCAGATCGAAGAAGGCAGAAATAATGAGTCTACGAAAAGAATTTGGCGAGGATTCAGAACTATAGTCTATACAACGTCAATGAGTTCTAAAACCAGCCTGATGCTTCCGCGTGCACCGTTCACGTGCTTCAGCCAATTAACGTCTTATGATGCCAGTGAGAATTTAAGAGGCACTGCTGATTGAACTAATCCTTCTGTGCATTTCACAAGAGTATCTGTCCTCTTTCTTGTAGATCGATAAGATGACCGATTCACACCATTCAGTTGGAACCTGTCCTCACTCCCACACTNCAGGAGTTTCTCCAGGCCCAATAGCTGTTGTGATCCCTTGTGCTCCCCATTTATCAAAGAATCTTTGAAGGTGGTATTTCTAAATCTGAAAACAAAAACTAAAATTCCATGGGTTGATGGACGTGGCAAGCGGCCATTCCGGTTTAATGCTACGCCCAATCTAGCGGGGCCTTATGTGATTCAGCGCTCCATATCCCGGGGCTTTTGTTACCGGTTCCGTTCACTAAACAGCAGGTCTTCCTTACTATGGAGTTCGCCTCATGTGCTGTTCATCACACAAAGGTATGTAAAAATATCACAATCTTCCACTCGCGGAGTCCTTTTGGCGGTCAGTAGCTTACGTTAACTATAAACCATCTGATCAACCAACATGTATTAGGCGACTGGAGTTTTCTTATACCACCCAATACAGTTATAATTTGGGTTTGGATTAGTTGATGACTGCGGTCGTAAATTCCATAGCCAATCACTTAGTTTGATCCGGGTCACCTGAGAATCTTACTTCCGCTAACAAAACACTGACCAATGTCATTGCTTTTGAGAAGTTTCTGTAATGATCTGTTTGTTCTGTAGCATGTACGCAAATAACTGAGATGCGTTTGTGAACAAACTTTGGCTTCAGAAAAATTATGCCAAATGTTTGATGATTCATTCGGGTGCATCTGTTTCTGCAACCAGCGCAGAAACAAAGGTTCGATCCGGAGAAGCTAATTTTGTCGTGATAGAAGCACGCTGTAGTGGAATTTTTAGCTTTTACTCCCATTCTTATTTTGACTAGTGGTATCAAGCGGCACTTGTTGACCTGCACTATTGTCTTTTTAGATTTCACTCTGTTTATCCATACGGTGTTTGTTTCCAGCCCACGGATTCATTGATTTTCTCTTTGTTTGTGGCAGGTGTCTCGCGATGCTGACTTTGCCCGAACGCTTCAGAACGAATATCGCAAAATCATCTCTCCTATTGCCACCCGAAGTAGAACGAAGTCATCACGCACATTGCGTGCGAGACATAAGTAGTTCATCCGTCTATTTCTTCTGTGTCATCCGACCATTCTTTTCTCCGGCTGCTGTCGGTATATCTGACTTGTCATTCTGTTTTTTATTCATTTCATACGATCACTCATCGCATTCTTTATTCACACTGATACCCATACGGATATATATATATATATATGTATATATATCATATTCTGTCTGTACAGTTTCACTAAACATAGTTAAATTCTGACTAATTACTTTTGATGATGTTCTCTGACGATGAATGATAATCGCATCTACAATTCGCAAAATTGATGAAAACCGAGGCCTTGTAATAACCTGAGGCAATTTTGNTTTTGATGCTTTGACTTAGCCGCCGAAGTCTATTACTTTGATTATCATTCTCTCCCGTGAAAAGTGTGACTTCTACGGTCGTTAGCACACCCCGGTTGACGTTCTGTTCTTGCTGTGTACCTCCGACCACAGGCACATTGGAAGGAATAGGTGTATTCAGAGGTCACTAATGTCATTTCGATGTAGATTAGTGTGAGTGAAATAGCAAAATATCACTCAACGGTATTCATTGCACGTTCACTCCGCGTTGTTAGATAACCAAATGTTCTGACTTTATCACTTTTGAATGTTAGGTCGATGTAGAGATCCTTCTTATTTAGGGAGGCAGTTCTGGGATTGACCGTATTGATGCACTTGTGAATTTAAGAAGGAGGCCCTTATCTCGCAGAGCACATGTTAACCTCTCTGAGCTACCTGGCAAGGTTTGTTTGCGAAATCGACACTTAGTGAAATAGAGTTTGCACCAGACCACGTTTGTATTTGAAACTCCTCATGTGCAGGTACTGTCGTGTCCAATTAGGCTCCGGCTACATAGGTAACTGCAGCTTCCTCTCTGACAATGAATTCAGTAGTAAATTGTGAAACGGCAATCTGTACTCCGCTTAGCATTCTTACGTGAGTCTAATGTTTGGCTAATAATTGCAACCAACAAAACAGTTTGGGATCTGATTTATTCCGGTACCGGGTTCTCCCCATATTCTCTTCGTCAGTGGATGATCCTCTGGTCATACCTACCACCACACTTGCGCGTAATTTTTCGTGAATTACCATCCCATCAACATAAAACCTGGTCACTGATAGTCCTCTTGTTCGCACTGCTGGAACAACCACTAATATGTAAACACTCTGATTTTCATCGTGATCTCCACCGGAATTGTCGCTTTAATTTGCGAATCTGCTCACAATGAAAGCGAGAAAGTTTGAACAGATCCAATTCTGTTTCACAGATTGTCTTCATAAACCAAACCCCATGGACTAAGAAAAGAACTGGTCGTGCGAGTGTTATGAATCCCCATGTCGAGTATTGCACTGTGGATCTGTTTATTTACCAAATTGAGATGCGTAGAAGTGTAATCGGAATGCGTTCCCATTGGCTTTATTATCTCGAAGCCGTGTGATCTTCGTATTCACTTTCCTGTTGACAACTCAAATCTCTGTTGTGATTTATCTCTCCCTATCATTTCCATTTGTCAACTAGACTTTTTTTCTTGTATCTGTTGGGAACAATCTGTATAAAAATTATCCAGTCCTGTATTCCATTTCTATCTTTAGTGATAAAAAGGAGAGGCTACTCGGCTGCAGATGAAAGTTCGAGCATGAATGACTTTTTCGTGTTTTCCTCTGCAACATTTTTGCACTTTTTATTGCAATCCAGGAATACCCTCCCCCCACGACTAAATGTTCGTACACTGAAATATGGATCAAGATGCCCCAATAGCAATTTAACATGGCTTGTCTGATCCGAGCAGTAAATTGCGCAGTACAAAACCGAGCCATTTAAGCAATGAACTTCTGGTCCGACTGACGAAATGTGAGCGGGACTCGAGATTATGGTTCTCCCGCTCTCTACTTCTCATTGGTCCAGTGAGTTTGCTTGCATGCGACACGTCGGAGAGTGCGATTGGTGGTGGACTTGAGAATATATATGATTCGTTGATCGATAGCTCAACCATCAACGGGGCAAGCCCATAGGTTTCAAGCCTTGTCGCTGAAGTGCGC